ATGCGCCCCCCCTCACCTCGACCCCCCTCTGCTGCTTCTTCTTCTTCTGGCCAGAAGCTGTTTACCTCTCTATCAGCAGAGCCGTGTAAAAGCAGGGACTCCATCCATATTCACTGGCCACAAATTCCTCTGCTTATCTCCCCCCTAACCCTTGAAAAAGCTCCCCGTGTTCCCCTCCGCACATACATACATACATAAACACGATGGAGGCGAGAGGCAGCCTGCAGGACCGGGGGGGATGGAGGGGCGGGGGGGATAAGGATCACCTTGAATTCAAAGTGGAGGATTGTGGGTCCTCGGTGAGTAGACGGCGGGCAGCCATCCACGCGGCCTACGAGGGCTCACGCCGGAGTGACACAACAAACCCCCGGAAAGGTGGAAGTCGGATTTAAAGGGATGGGAGTAGATGTTGGCACCAGAGGCCGTTGGCCAATCAGAGGATTTAGAGACCACGGTGTGTGTGTGTGTGACATGATATGCATCATCAGGCGCCTGAACAAACGTCCGTGAAGTTGTAGCTACAAACTGATCTTTAACCTGGAGGGTCGAGGCCCCGTCACTGGACCGGGCTCTGAGACTAAACTGGACCAATCAGATGTCTGGACCCCCCCCCCTCCGACCCCAGGCTGTGTTGTTTAAGCTCTTTGTTATTGAAAACTAATGAGAGATTTTTTTTTTTTGAGCAAATCAGCAGTTAACATTTAATAATATTACGTCTCTACGCTGACGATTCGTTTATTTATCTTGAACCTCCTCACTCCGTCTCGGGGTGCGCAGGAGGGGCTGCGACCCTTCATTTGCTGACGCCTTGGTTTTCAGTCACACCTAAAAACTTATTCAACAGTTTTTTTTTCTTTTTCTTTTTTTTCTCGTTAACTAAACTCAAATATAATATTTACTGTGTAAATATATATTTCTCCATTTTCATTCCTGCGGTATGTTTTCTTTTTTTTTTTTAGAATAATCTGATATAATCTAATAATGGAGAATAATCTTAATTCTAATTTAATGTAAAAACAGAAAACTCCACTCAGGCTAAATGTTCCGTTGTTCATTAAAGTAAAAATATTAATTCCGTTGCATATGTTTCGTGATGACTTTTAACATTACATTACGACAGAGTTGTATATAAATTATACCAGGCTGCAGCTGCAGAGACTGGGAGGTCAAGAGGTCAAATCTCTAACAGTCGATTCTTCACTGGTTTAAGGTGATTTTCTTTCCTTTCCTTTCTTTTTAAATATAAATATGAATTTTTTTAATTTTTTTTTTTAAGTGAGGGAATTGGAGGGGGCGCTGGTGTGAATGCGTAGCACAAGTTTGGGTTGAAAGAGTTGTGAGAGTTGGTGTGGAGTCACTCAGACCTGGACCGGTTTCCTTGTTCGGGGATTGAAGTTGGGAACTCTTTTTCGCCGCTAATTGCGACGCGGCGTGAACGATGAATATTCATTCACCGTGGGCCTTCAGCCCCCGCCTAATGAGGCTGGAGGTAGAGGAGGAAAGTAGCACCNNNTTCCCCCACCCCCCCCCCCCCCATCACACACAGACACACACAGATCGACGCACCCTCTGGGGAGCTCTAGAACAGGAGCCCAAGTTCATTAACCAACCGGAAAAAAAAAAGAAAAAAAAAAGTTACCTGAACAGTTTACGATTTAAATGTTTAAAAAAAATAAATTAAAGACTTTATATTTGAAGTCAATTCCCAGGTGATGCTGCGACTGTGAGTCAGTATAAATATAGACTTGGAGCCTGACGTGGAAATGTAATTCATATATTTTAATTCTTTGGACGTTTGGACAGAGAAAATACCATCTATTTATATATATATATATATATATTAACTGTGAACGATGCACGATAAAAAAAGAAGAAGAAGAAGAAGAAGAAGAAGAAGAGAAGGAGAAGCGAGTGCAGACCAAACCCACTCACTCACATTATTATTATTCCACTCACTGCAGTTTCATGGGTTCGTCCCGTGAATTTTAAAAATCCAAACACAGCTTGTGGCAGATCTCTTAATGTAACCAATGGAAGTGAAGAGGACTTGTGTTAAACGTGTGAGGATGGGGGGAGTTCAGCTATATCTGCACCGCTTCAAGTACAATCTGATTTAATTGAATTTAAAAATTTATACCGTCACATATTTATAACCGTGGAGTAAGAACAAAAAAAAAAGATAAATAAAATAAAATGGCTTCCGTTGAAATAGATGGTGATTATGACGTATTGTTTTTGGTTTTTTTTTAAAGAGAGATTCTGTCAATCATTAATGCTGCTTAATTATCCCTGACCGACAAACCACGTGACTGACTGGAAATTAACCTTTTATTTTATTTTTTTTAAAATATATACAGAAGGCCGTCAAATTTAATTAGCATAATTAGTGTCTGTTTTTAACTCTGATAATGCTGTTAGACACCGCGGCCTTTAAAGGATCAAATTAAGTGTCTTTAAACGCATCATCATCTTCATCATCATCATCATCATCTTCATCAGACTGTGTCAGGACGACACTGTTAGAGTGGGGTATAAATCAGGAGAGTCTGTTTCCACTCCGGCACAAAGGAGACACTTATTGGTGGAGGGAGAGGTCACGCAGTTTCCTCCTCTCTCTGCTCCTCACTCAGAGGAGTCGAGTCACTCCGTAAATCCATCATATCGGCCCGATCTTTTTTTTTTTTTTTTTTTTTTTCCACCGCGGCTCTTCCTTCCTGGACGGGCCTGTCAGTCACCGCCAACTTTTCTCTGTGATTTCTTTCTTCCATCGCACCATGGAAACGCACTGCGTCCTGGCAAAAATGCACCTCGGCTTCACACAAGGCTATATTCACTTGACAAAAGAGAACCAGAAGCATCTGGAACTCTTTCTTTCTTTCTTTCTTTCTTTCTCCTCCTCCTCCTCCTCCCTGCAGCAGCAGCAGCAGTGGCTGCGGCGGCTGCGGCGGCTGCGGCTCCTCGCCGGACAGGGCAGAGCACAAGCCCGGCTCTGTTCGGCAGAGACCGCTGCTTTTTATAGACCGAAGGGGGAGAAGAATGAGTGAAAGTCTGGGACGTCTTCATCCAGTCCCACTTCCACTGTGAGGCTCTCAGGTGTTCGACGAGGAAAGTCCTGACTGGGATTTCCCGCTAAACAGTCGCGTTAAAGCCGCATTATCGAAGTGTTTATATTTATATAAAAAAAAAAAACACTTTTGCAGTGTTTTTTTTAAAAAACAATACTTTTATAAGTTACAAACTGTTTCATTCTCTTAACGCGTCATTTAAAAAAAAACTTTAAAAGCAGTCGTAAAAACTCGCGACTTTTTCATTCGGAAATTGAACGAATTTGAAAAAAAAAAAAACCTTAATTACGAATTAAAACATAAACGCGCGAAATAAAACAGTGTGAGTGAAAAACTAACGGTGATGACGTGACTGACGTGTCAATAACTACACTCCATATAAGGGGGTGCGCGGATAAATAAGCGCGCCCATCAAGAGATACAGACGAGCACCTGTGACCTCAGCACAGCGTTTAACACACGTGCACGCGCACAAACACACACACCCACACACACACAGAGGGAAAGGAGAAGTCGACTCACCCTTCAGTCGCTGTAAATCCGGCTTTAAACCACTGACACACTGAGTCGCATCATCCTGTAAACAGGAGAAAGTGGATGTGAGGAAGAGGGGGGGTGTAAACAAACAAACAAACAAACAAACAAACAGACAGACAGACAACACGACCACGACTGTTTCGCAGGTAAATGATGTGAAAGTGTTTCGCCTGAAACTCCCCCTCTCTCCGTCTCCCTCTCCCTCTCTCTCTCTCCCCGCTCTCTCTCTAGCTCTCCCCCTCTCTCTCTCCCCGCTCTCTCTCTAGCTCTCCCCCTCTCTCTCTCCCCGCTCTCTCTCTAGCTCTCCCCCTCTCTCTCTCCCCGCTCTCTCTCTAGCTCTCCCCCTCTCTCTCTCCCCGCTCTCTCTCTAGCTCTCCCTCTCTCTCTCTCCCCGCTCTCTCTCTAGCTCTCCCCCTCTCTCTCTCCCCGCTCTCTCTCTAGCTCTCCCCCTCTCTCTCTCCCCGCTCTCTCTCTAGCTCTCTCTCCCAGCGTCTCTCGAGCTCCTTTGCAATTCATAGAATTGGTAATTTGCTATTGGGACAAAACGTGAAGGGAAAAATAATCAGATGAGCCAGAAATGAGTCAGAAGGAGGAAACACGGAGTGTGTGTGTGTGTGTGTGTCTCTCTCTCTCTCTCTCTCTCTCTCTCAGTCAGTGTCTGCTCACTGAGGTGAACACTTAAAACACAATACAGTTGTTGTTTTTTTTATTTATTCTACATGTACAAAGATGAGGTAAAAAAAATGGAGGGGG